CCATTTGCTCTTAGCTATATTCTGTATTAATGGTTTCTCTATTAAATGTTTGAATATTTCTGGAAAGAAGGATTTTTGAACTCTTTTTTTTTTATTGCAGCCAGTAGTTTGTGGATAACACAGTTAATATTTTATGTTATACCACCTACAAAAATCGAATATTTCATATTAATTAATTTATAAGAAGAATCCTCGCAATCATATGCCACAATAACATTTTCTGTTAGCAAACGAATAAAAAGTCACACAACATAATGTCCATTGATGCTGTCTGCAATGTTGCCTTCTTGTAGTTCAGTCTTCTCAGTTTTGACTGCTTTACCTCTGGCATCACAGAGCACTTCTCCTGTCTGAATGACATTCCGATGTCATTGCTGTAGATCCTAGCAGTATGGATCAGTGAGTCCATGTAGAGGTGTCTAATGATTCTGTAATTTTAAAGCAAGTTCCAACTTGACCACCTCAGAATTAGATGAACAAAAATGAGCTGTGTTAATAATAAAAATATATTTTTAGTTTCAGGTACTATAGTTACTAGGCTTAAATGTTGTGCTTTTTAATTTACCTTTGTTTTTCTGTCATTTGGACATCAGCACAATGTAAACTGCACATCAAGCACTTGGAACTACCTAATGTAGCCATGTTTTTACACTAGCAAATATAGCTTACGGCTGCAACATTGAGAGACGTTGTTCTATTGGCTTGTGTTGTTGTTGTAGTGCCACTCGGGCTGTTAAAGTTGCGAACATTTCACCACAGCACTCGTTTCCATTGTCCATTTGCACTACATGACCTGCAGAGGAGGCATACAATAATTGCTCAATTGGTCATGATAATTTGCATATTAATGATCAAGGAACTGACCTCACAATCCATTGTTCATTAAGTGGGCTAGTTTCATTTATTGTGCAAAGGTACTGTTTATAAGGTTGGGGAAACCTTCAGTCAGCTGAGACTGAAGAAGTCACTTGGATGATTCCGAAATATTTCTCCCACTGAAAACGTTACGTCCAGATGAACAGAATCTTTTTTCTTTTTTTTTGGTTTTCTTACTATGCTTATGCTCCCCATTTGGGAGGATGTAATTTCAAAAGGTGGGCTCTGTGTGAAGGTACTGAAAGTGCATCAGTGCAGTGGAAATTGTAACTGCATGCCTCCAACCAAACTCATTAGCCAAGGCCACAGGCTACGTACCTTAAAGATTTCGAGATTTATCTTCATGTCTTTAAGGCTAAGGTTTGGGAGTGACATGTGTTGCACCTCATTCTTCTCCTTAAGGTAACAGAATTCATAGACATAATATTTTGCTTCATGCATTGTGCCTACATGATGATATATGATATTTAGACAATCAGGGAGGGAAAAGGGCTCCAAGAGAAATTTTCTGTCTGTGTGGAAGTGGATGTTCCTGGATTCAAACAGATTTACTGTGTTGTTATTTAATTATTTTTTCTCGTCTCAGCCCACTGGCTGATTCAGCCCACTGAGCCTCAAAAGGAGAAACCTTGTCTTCATTGAGCCAAGTTGCCCAATAAGAATTGTTTGGCTTTGACTGATGTTTGGGACTGATCCTTGTTGCCTTTTATAGCTTTCCTCCTGTGTCAAGAACAAAACAACTGTTATGGTTTTCTGTCAGAGCCCAGTTGGACTCATTACTGCCTTTCCAGGAGTTGCTGTTTAGTAGAGAAAGGTTGATGACTGTGTTCTACATGCACCTCAAAGACTCAAATCATAGACCATTGGTTAGACATACTGAGTGTCTTTTATACATTCCTTTTGTAATGTTTTCCATCTTTACTCAAGTTTAAAGCCTTTAAGTTGTGATTTGACTTGAAATCTTGTGTGTGTTTCTGCAGGCTGCTGGAAATGCTGTGAAAAGAGCCTCTGATAATCTGGTGAAAGCAGCACAAAAAGCAGCATTTGAAGAACAAGACGACCAGGCTGTGGTGGTCAAGAGTAAGATGGTGGGAGGTATTGCTCAGGTAAGTTAGCGATCCGAAGCACATGTTCTACATGTAACTTCGCCTTCAGTCTCATTGTGTGTTGTAAACTCATTTGTGTTACATTTCTATAATCGTGATAAAGCACTGTCTCATGTGTATGTGTGACTGTGAAGTGTAACAGCTGGGTAGCTCAGCAGGATAGGACTGAATTAGAAAAAGGGAAACTGGAAGTACTGACCCAGGGTGGGCATGTGGCTCAGCTGTACGCACCGCTGTTTTATAGGAAGAAAGGTCAAGTTCACATCTTTTGTATAGGTTAGGACTTAAGTGTGCGGAGGTCTGGATTGGGATCTGTTCATCTGACTTAAGTTCAGTTTCATGTGTGTGATTGTGAAACAAGTGTTTCTTAAGTGTGGTGACATGCTGACCAATTGTGTTGTGTTGTAGATCATTGCCGCTCAGGAGGAGATGCTACGGAAAGAAAGGGAATTGGAGGAAGCCAGGAAGAAGTTGGCCATGATCAGACAGCAGCAGTACAAATTCCTCCCGTCAGAACTGCGGGAAGATGGCCAGGAACAGTGAGAGAATAAGTGTGGGTCTGTAGCAGCATGCAGTGTCGTCAGCAGAAGTCATCTTTGGAATGATAAGGACCTGCTCTCAGCTCATCTTTAAGTGGAGAAAACTATAACATATAACTATAACTGTAACATTAAACAATCTGACTTCAATTCCACAGCAAACTGTTTCACATTTAGTTTCAAAAGTTAACAATGACGTCCGTAACGCTGATTAAGGTATCTGTACTTTTGATTATATGGTTACACACCTATCAGTATATTTTTCTCTATTTTGAATTCTTTTTTTTTCATCTTTGTGTGTACATGCTGTGTAAAATGGCAGTCACGCCATTAAATTATACTTGCCTTAACTGTCCTAGATATAGATATCTTATATAGGCAAGCAGAATTAATGCTTCCATGACAATTATGCAGAATCTATGCAAATTTTATATGCCGTGTGTGCGTGGGTGTGTGTGCTGGTATGCGTGTGTGTGTGTTTACAGACACAAAGTGCCTTGATGTATAGGAGTTCATTGTGAAAAAGAGATCTGTGGTTGTATGACAGTAATGATATTCAATATGTTAATTGACGTACTGGTTAAACTTAATATATAAAATTACACATTTTAAATCTAAATTGGGATAAAATAATTATACAGTGGAAAAAATCATAGTGTTTTTTTACAACCTTCAGAATATGTTAAAAGGATATCCTCCAGTACATTGCTATGTTTTTCTGTGTGGGTTTTTGGATTTAACCATCTACAGTATTTAGCCAGAAATCAGACTAGAGGACTCATTTGTGTTCAAATAATGAAGCCATATATTTAATTTTTAAATATTTGAGATTGTTGCAAAGAGTCCAGCACTGTCAGGATTTCTTTAAACAAATAAAGTGTTTTAAATTTATACCTTTATGTATTATGTACCAGGGACATGGGATCAGCTGTAAGTTTATACTTGTATCCTAAGTTTTTAGTACTTTCTATGTAACATGACTTGTGCTTGATGAGGGTCTAGTAGAGAAAAATTATGAATATATTTTTGCAATTACACAGTGAAAGTGTATTTGCAACAGGAATATTTGACATTAAATTGACTGTATTTGGATTCTTAGTGGTTATTGACTTGCTCCTATGATATGTTATTTGTGGGATTTTTCTAAAGAATTCCTACAACTGAAAAGGAAATGATCTGAGGTATATATTGGCATTTTATATGGATGAACACAAAAATAGATTATAAGATAATGATTAAAATCTGCCCTTACGTTGGCCTTTTTTTCTTTTGCATATTATTTGCATATTATTTTTAGGATAGCTAGAGCAGTATGCAGTATAACATACAAAGGTTTTTTAAAATTTTGTGCACATGTTGACTAATTATAATGCTCATTCACAATAGTACCGATGATGGACACTGTAACTGTGATTTATATTCAATAAAGACAGTGTTTAAAGAGATGTTGACATCTGTTGTTTAACAGTTTGTTTGTCCCAACATAGATATCATGTCCCTAAAAGGTGAAAACTCAGTGTTACACAGTGGAGAATCTATAACACAGCTTGCATTATTTTCAATAAATATATTTAAACAAAATGTGTTTGGAACTATATTCTCTATTTATTCTTTCCCCTCGCCCTCAACCAGTCAGAGGCTGCTTATGCTACATCTGCTTTTCCTGTTAAAACTTCTTCCCTTCATCCTCCCTACCATTGCCCAGTGCTTGTTTAAAGGGCTTCTTTACATTACAATACAAAACACCTTTAGACAATTGTTGTGAACTGAAACTACAAAGTAAATAAAGCTGAACTAAATGGATATTAGCCACATGTCTCACTAGTTACCTTATTGCCTCTAAATAGCAGTAGTTATTGTATAGCTCGCAAACCTGTATCTTGTAGGGACTAACACATTGTTAAATCGTCTCACTTTAACTGAAATCATCACACCCCACTGCACTACAAAGCCCTTGTGGGGACTTTCTCAAGTCTGATTTGAAAGTAGGACCTCCTCATTTATACAGATAAGTAGAAATGGAGACTCAATTAAAATAAATGCTTTGGTTTAGCTACCAGTTTTCCCAGATTATAGGTATGTTATTACGGTCTTACACTATAACTGTGTCCTTCTGTTTACGCGGTATAGACTTTCTCTCTTTGTGTTTTAACTTTCAATTTTGGATTTTTATGTTTTCAGTATGTACATCTTCACATATGACCCAGTCAGTTGTGGGTTTTTTTTGTTTGTTTGTTTGTTTTAATTCAACGCCTTTAATATTTTAATTGGTAATTTTCGGATTGGTACTACTTTTTTCATCTCTAAACGTTTTAGATCAGTGATTTGCTCTGTTACCTTTGCTGATGTCCCAGTGGTCGGGGATAGTCTTGATTTATTCTCACATACTGAACACACACGTCAGACAGCCTGCACAACTTTCAGTGCCTAAACATGGTCAACGAATCGTACGGATCCAAAGTGGGAGAAAAAGAGGAGTGCGTGGGCTCGTACTGCTGTCATGCCATCCTCTCTTGCTCTCTTGAACAGCTTCACAGAGACCCTCCTGTTCTCCTGTCACGGACCGTTGCCTGTGTCTGTCCCGAAAGCTGGGTGCAGTTCTCTTTCTGTTTAGCTCACAGACACTGAAGAAACATGGAGGCCATCAAGAAGAAAATGCAGATGCTGAAGCTGGATAAGGAGAACGCTATAGACCGGGCAGAACAGGCTGAAATAGACAAAAAAGGAGCAGAGGACAAATGCAAACAGGTAAAGGAAGGAGCTACGCTGCACCTCACAGGCAACTCGTTGAACACTTTTAAACGTTTCAACGTAAACATAATGAAGGAAAAGTTATGAAATATATAACCTTAAAATACACACAGAACTATATAAAATAATTTAGAAGAAGTGCTGAAAAGCAAAACCCGACTAAGTTGTAAATGGGCGAAAGGTCTGACGTGAAATGCACCTTAAGACTTTCAATCCGTTCTATACCAGTTGATGTTGATATCGTCCTGTTATCATTTACCCGCACCGCACATACATAATTCAATATGTAAAATGTACTGTAGCTTTTGGCTGCTAAAGTTGATTTTTCTTATCACTGTTTGATGTATACTGCTGACACTTCTCATTCAGGATATTCTTTGGTTGTGGCTTTATGTTTTGGCATTTAACGTCAATGTTTGGCATTGTCCATAAAAAAACGAGTCTAAGACACCTTTGCTCTTTTATTTCACTTTTTTTCTGTTTAGTTGTGCTCCCCTTTCTTTTCTTTTACTTTTTTGAGTGATTTTGTTTTCCAGTATTGTATTTATTTTATTGAGCTCTTGTATTTCAATTTGATATAGGTTCTGTTTAATGTTTCGGCTGCTGTGACACGATAATTTTCCAAATGTAGAGATAGTTAAAGTATATCCTGTATTATCTTTATTTTCACTTGAAACTTGATTTACATAGGTATACTTTATGTTTATTTAAAATCGGGGAAAAGTGCACAAATATTATAACCAAAATGCATTTTAAATTTCCAAAGTGAGAGTATTTCTTATATGCTAAAATTATTCCGTGATGGATACTTTTAAAGGGTCTCTGCTTATATCGGATATCACTGACAAAAGCTGCTTGTTCTGTAATTTAACCTGATCATATACAGTTCAGCTCAGTCAGTGACAAGATCAATCTCTCAGGTTTGAAAAGACGATTATATAATATGATATGCAGTTAAATGTATTTATATATAACTACAAAACTAAACATGACAAGTAACTACAAAAGCAAATACAAAATGTCTCTCTTTTTTTGTTCAAAAAAGTATAGTGAAATACTTTGATATGTTTCAGACTTTTTTTAAATTTTTAATCTGATGATTAAGGTTTAGGAAAATCAGAAATCCAGCATCAAATTATTAGAGTATTATTTTAAATCAATACAGAAACATTCAGCTTCTGAAATGTATGTTCCTGGTTGGGACTTCTTCACAACAAGTTACTGTATGAGTGCAGTACATAGAGGCAATCAGCTTTGATAGATTTGATGGTGGCCTTTAGCTTGTCTGTGTTTTTAGCTTTTGTGTTATCTCTTCCTGTTGACAATACCCCACAAATTGTTTATGAGGTTCAGGTCAGGTTGGTTGGCAGCTATTTCAGTACTATAATAACATGGACAGCAAACCATCTTGTAGGAGTTTTGGCATTGTGGACATGTGTTAATAAGGAAATCAGTATTTTCGTAATGCTTGCCAACAGATAGAAGCACAAGGTTTTCTAAAATCTCCTGGTGGACTTCTGAGTTGACTCTGGACTACAACAAAGTGGACCAATCATTACAATCGCAACTTCGCACTAGACTTTAAGACCTTGGGTTCTGTGCCTCTCTACTCTCAATGCAACATTTATTTGCATCTGAAAAAGAGAACTTTGGACCATTAAGCAAAAGTCCATTTCCCCCCCTCTTTATCCCAAGTTAAACGCTTCTGATGCTCTCCCAAGTTCTTGAATCAACTTTTCTTGAAAATCTTCTTGAGATTGAAGTCATACCTCTTGCTCATGACTTTTTCCTACCACACTTTTCCATACCTGACAACTTTCCATTGATATCTTTGAGACTGTTGTGCTGAAATGAACTGAATGAAATAGTTTTTTTTTTCTTGAGAAGGGCACATCAAATTATGGCATAAGTTAGCACAGTGTATCAGAAGTGTTTGCAGTAGTAATATTTAAGGCATAGCTTTAACACCAAACTGGAATTTAACTGTCAAGCTTCAGTGACAGAGCATTAAGGCCCATCAGTGTCCATTCTATTTCTTTCTTCTTCTTCTTCTTCTTTTGTAGATTCAATTAAAGCAAGGAGAACAGATGATGTTTTTCTGACACCCTGCTAGTAGCAAAGTTCCTAAAGATATACATGTAAACTGGTTCTTTGATAAGTTGTCTGTTATGTGTAGACGGAACACTTAGTCATAAGTGGCTTAAAAAAACAACAACAACAAAGAAAAGTCATTGAAAATGGTCATTTACAAGGACTGAACTGAAAGTGACTGAAATGCACCAAAAGCAGTCTGGCTTTCTGGAAATCAACAGCTGCAACGTTGAAGCGATATACACATCAACAATTATGATTATGAATTATGCTATCAGCCAGATTTAGATCTGACCCATCTATGTCAAAATTATGTCTAAACAATAAATATATCAATTGATTTTCATCTTAAAATTTGAAAACTGACTTATGTACTTGCAACCTGCTATAATTTCATAAGAATCAGAATACTGTTCATTTTAAATGTCTGAAAAGGAATGTTTGTTGGATAACATGATTATGTTCTCTATGTACATTGTACAAAACATTTTTAGACTACAGAATGTTTAAAACCAAAATAATATACCACACCAGTATTTAAGCACCACCAATATTTAAGATCCCATTCTGTGGTCCCAGTTAAGATCAACTGACACAAGATGTGAGTGGGCGTTAAGGCACCTGGGAAGGGAAAAACTGGATTATAGGTGACAGACAGCGGGTGTCACAAGCCACCACCTCTGTTCAAGGATGGTTGTTCACAGTGGACATAGATTGTTGGTGTCTTGAAAACCAAACCCCAACAATTATGTCCCTTATTACCAAACAATTGAGAGTGGGAAGGAAAAACTCCTTTTAAACAGAAAGAAATCTCCAGCAGAACCAAACTCAGGTTCTGCCATCTTCCATGAGCTTTTGGGGGATGAAAGAAAGGAGAAGAAAAAAATAACTATGGGAGGCAAAGAAGTACTTATTGCATAACTAAAGAATGATTCACTATCACCTAATTCATCCCTAACTATATGCTTTATTAAAAAGGAAACTCTGAAGTAATCTTAAAAGTACAGAGGTGGTTCCACAGGAGAGGGGCCTGATACCTGAATGCTCTGCTTCTTATTTCCCTTTCAGAATACACGAGTAAGCCAGTAGCTCACAAAAAATCAGTTTACTCAGTCTACATGTGATTCCACTATTTTCTATTCAAAACTGGCTGCTTTTTCTAACTCTTGAACACATGAGAAAATATTCATAATTTATTGTTTTGAGAAACATCTGACAACGCAGTGAAATTCCTGTATGGCTTATAGTCTCTCTGGTGTAGTTCTATTGTGTATTTTCTCAAGATCACATAGCAATCTGTTAACATTCAACTATGCACCAGCTATCATAGAAATTATTCCCAGGGGATACCAGCTTGCTATCACCATCAGCTCTACCTAGAACCAATGAACATTTCCATTTATATTTCTACATCTAAGTAACTCACCTTTGAATTGTCACAGTTTTTAAGAGTCTGTCAAGGCCGTTGTCTTGGTTACCACTATGACAGGAACTATAGGACTGCCAAATGCTATATGTGAGTATCAGGCCTTAGATGGCTGTGAGAGGCTGTCAGAAGAGATATTTAAAGCACATTTGT